GGGGACCGCGCAGCGCGCGGCGGCCCGGTGAGATCGCATGGCCGCCCCCAGGAATGGCACACGACGAACCTGTCGCCCAGGCGAGGAAACGGAGGTCCAGACCGGCGGCGGGGATGCAAGCCCAACATTCAGCCTCTCCATGCTGCGCTGCACACAGGGGCGGGCGAGGGGCCCCTGGGCTCGGCCGGCGAGAGCTCGGAACCTTGCTTCTTGGTGAAAAGCACGGCTTTGATCGGAGCCCCCCCACTCTGCCTTGGGGTTTCGTAGAGACCGATGGCGGTGAAGTGTTCGGAGTGTGGTTTAGCTTTCAGGGACTGGGCTTGCGTCGTGGGTTCATTTGCGTTGCGCGTCTCCCAGTCAGCAGCTCGAAACCACCAGTGCTCCCTGGAAGAAAGATGAGGCTTTCTACTCCCACAAAGAGTTGACAGTTGGGAACCCGCCACGGGCAAAGTTCTACTCCGTCTTCCAGGGTGGCTGCTCCTTCTCCACGTGCGCTGTGGGCTCTGGCGCCCTCTGCTGGGCAGGGAGGAAGCTGGCGGGATGAGCTTGGTCCCTCCCTCTGCAGGGCACTGCGCCATCCCGCCCCCTGCTCCCGGAACTCCTTTCTTTCAGTCGAACAGTGGTAGCTGGGAAGAGTGAGATCTCATCCCACATCCTGTCAAAAACTAGTTTTGAAACCTGCCTCTCTAGTTTCCATGGGCTGCCTAGGACACCCGCCCCTCCCTAAGACCAAGGCAATTCTACAAGCCATCAGGGATGGGCAGGGGACTTGCATCCAAGTGCTGGGGTATAACAAGAAAAAACTGGATAGAATCTAAATGGCCACCAAGGAGACACCGACCAACGTCACCAGGGTACATCCAATGTCCTGGGCAGCTCAAATGTAGCACTAATCCTGCAGACGAGCCACCAGACACTGAAAAGGAACAAGAACAGGCAAAACTCACGTGGGACAAGAGAAGAGAGAAAAGTAGTGATTTCTAGGGAGGGTATGGGCAGGAAAGGAGACTGAGAGAAGCTTCTTCAGTATCTTCATCTGAGGGTGGTGCTTACACAAGTCTATAGGTGAGTAAAAAGTCATTGCTTTATTACTTCAGAATACGTGTGCACTTTATGCAGACTATATGTAACATTCTGTTTTTTTTAATTTAGAAAAAAAGCTCACTCAAGCCTGACCTCAATTAAAAAAAAAAAGACATATCTAATTTTGCATAAGGCAGCAAAATTCTCACACTTTTGCTTCTACCCCTTTCTACTCCTAAATTATTGAGGGCCCCAGAGAGCTTTGGATTTTGGGGCCTTACTGGTATTTACCATAAACTGTGGAAACTGTCAACACGGAGACATTTTTAAAACCCAAGGACTCCCTAATTCCCATGTACATCCGAATGATGATGTCACTTGGGAAAATTCCATAGCCAACTCTGAGAGGGTGGGAAAAGGCAAAGAGCAGCAGTTTTGTTTTGAAAGGAATTCTGATCTCTTGGAATTCCCAGACCACACTTTGATAACCACTGGCATGGAGGGAGAAGCTGGAAAACACTCCATAAGGCATCCTCAGTACTGGCATTCAAACAAAACTCACACCATCCAGTCAGTGGGTGGAAATGGCCCTGTGAGTTTCCAAGTCTAACTTAAAAAACCCCAACTTTTGTTGGGGGCTCTTATATCTCTTAACACAATCCAAACATTCCTCCAGTGTGCCAAGCACATTTGCACATATGCCGCCATCATCATTTTCAAAGCATTCTCTTCCCACTTGAGCCCCTGATATCAGCTCCCCATTTCTTCCCCCTCCCTCCCTCACTTGCCCTCCCTCACAAACTCTTGGTAAGTTATATATTATTATTTCCATATCATTATTCATCCCCCTGGGAAGGGGTTCTGTATTGATCCTTGTGATTGATTCCCACTTTCTCCCCCCACTCTCCTCTAATCCTCCTGGTATCTCTACTCTCCTTGTTGGCTCTGAGGGGTTTATCTATCCTGGATTCCCTGTGTTACGGGGCGCTCTTATCTGTACCAGTGTGCATGCTCTAGTCTAATCTGATTTGTAAGGTAGAATTAGGGTCATGATAGTGGGGTGAAGGAAGCACCAAAGAGCTAGAAGAAAGTTGTTGATGGACATAGGGCCTCGACTCAAGTACTACCTTAACACAAGAACACTGATGCTCACCTTCCCCACAGGATCACTGAAGACAAAATGGGTGCATAAGCAAATGTGGTGAAGAAAGCTGATGGTGCCCAGCTATCAGAAGAGATAGTGTCTGGGGTCTTAAAAGCTTGAAGATAAACAAGCAGCCATCTAGCTGAGAAGCAGCAAAGCCCACATGGAAGAAGCACACCAGCCTGAGTGATCATGAGGTGTTGATGGGATCAGGTACCAGGCATCTAAGGCCCAGAATAAAACCATACCTAAGGTGAATGGGGGCGGGGAGTGGGGTGGGCAGGGCATGGAGTGGAGACCCAAAGCCCATCTGTAGACAATTGGACATCCCTCACCGAGGGGTCACAGGGAAGAGATGAGCCAGTCAGGGTGCAGTATAGCACCAATGAAAGACTAACTTTTTACAGAAGTAGAAATCCTTATCTTTCTCTCTTGGAAAGGCTGGTAGTTTCAAACTGCTAAATCAGTCCAATGTGTAACCACCACATCACCAGGTCTCTGTGCTTGCATTTGCATATATTATTTGTTTATAATTGACTTTTATCTACTTCTGTGTTTCAGTCCAAAGTTTGGAAAATACCACTGTAATGTTGTTGAAAGGTCCCAACAGTAATAGTCAATTTAACTATATGGAAGAATTAAACCAAGTTCTAACCCGAAACTATGGATACGGTTTCCCCCATCAATGCCTGCATTGGGAATTGAGACCCATTCTTGCCCTCAAAAAATTCCATCATCCAGATAAGCCACTGGGGTCTTCAGAGCTTGTGAGGGGTTGCCATGTGGTGGGGTGGGGGGGAGTGAAGGGGATCAAACACATGGAAATGACGATTCCAATGAGCCCCTTGAACATCAGCCTCCACTCTGCCGAGGTCAGAAGAACTAGATGGTCTCTAGCTATCACTGTTTAATTACAGCTCAAATTCTGAGTGCTAAGGCAACAGGTATCAAAAGATCCAAAACAAATAACCATATCGATGTGAAAGAGGGGTGGGGTTGGAGCGGAGACCCAAAGCCCTTTTATAGATAATTGGCTATCCCTCCACAGAAGTGGCATAAGGAAGTGCTGATTCAACCAAGGTGTACTATAGCACTGACAAATCACCCATCATTCCTCTAGTTCCTGAATACTCCCCAACCCCCACCCCCACTACCATGACCCAGTTTTGACTGACAAATCTGGCTGGACTGGAGAACACTCATGGGTACAGATAAGAGCTCTAGACACAGGGAATTCAGGAAAGATAAACCCTCAGGAACAGTAATGGGAGTAGTGATACCATGAGGGTAGGGGGACAGTCAGGGCGGGGGAAGGGTGAGAAAAGGGGAACCCATCACAGGATTGGATATATAGACGCCCACCCCGCGAAGGATGAATAACAGAAATGTGGGTGAAGGGAGACAAAGGACAGTGTAAGATATGAAATAACAATAATTGATCAAGGATGCAAGAGGGCGGGAGGATGGGGGAGGGAAGGGGAAAAAGAGGAGCTTAGATCAATGGCTCAAGCAGAAAAATCTTGGAAATGATGGCAATATATGTACAAATATGCTGGATACAATTGATATATGGAATGTTATAAGAGCTGTAAGAGCCCTTAATAAAATGTTGGGGGGAAAATTCTGAGTACTAGGTTTGCTGGAGGCGATGATTTACAATGACAGACCTAAATCGATCTTTGAATCTCCACATAAACTCAGCCTCAACTGAAATCTTCCTGCCATTGAGTAGACATGTGAAAAAGCTTTGCCTCAGGCAGAGTGTTTGAAAGTTGATTGCAGCCACTCCCCTAACCAACCCAGGGTGGGGTAACCTAGCCTAAGCGTTGATGGAATTTGGGGTACTAGAGGAGCCCTCATGGAGCTATAAGGTCAGCATTGAACTGCTAACCACAAGTTCTTGGGTTCAAACCCACCGGCCACTGCTCAGAAGAAAGCTGACACTATGTGCTCTCATTAAAAAAAAAAAAAAATGTTTTTTATCGTTGATAGGTAGCATCTAGTCAGTTCTAATTCATAACTACCCACAAAAGGAAACGTCTCTCAGTCCCGCGCCATCCTCACAAGTGTTGTTTCGGCCCATTGTTGCAGCCCCTGAGTCCCTCCATCTCATTGAAGGTCTCTCTGTTTCTTGGACACCATTATGCCCTCAGGCAGACGGTCTCCTTCATCCAGATGATTTGTCTGTCAGGTTTGACTTGATTAAGCCTCATTTTTATTTGAATTTGAGGTCTCGTTTCTCCCTTAGAACACTAGCAACAAAGCTGAAGAAACAACAAAAATAAGAACGATAGGAATCAAAACTCACAATCACCAAACAGATTGGGCTTATTAGTCGGAGAGAGTCTGGTGGGGCCTCCCAGCCATCCTGCAGGTCTGGAACTTATCCCAGGGCTCAATTTTCTGCCAAGAGACAGGCCTATTAGGGGAGCAATTACACTAGGAAGGGACGCACACTTTAGAAAGAACCATTTAGGACCAGAAGGGCAACGATGATCCAAGGACAAATTTCAGATGGCTTCGGAGAGGAGGAATAGGGGACGCAGGGAGGAAGTGGGGTAAGGGATGGTACCTTTGTGGAGACTGCATTCTGTGACGAGAGACAAAATGTGCATGGATTGTTGAGTGGAAAACTGATCGGCTCCGTAAAACCTTCGCTCAATTCACAATAGAATGCTGTTTCAAAAGGAAGTTCCACCTTCCAATGTGGGGAAATACAAAGCAAACGTCTCCAGGGTCCCGAACACTGGAAAGCAGAGCTGAGACCGTGGAGTCCAGTCCTAAACCCACAGCGACCAGCCAGCGCCCCAACAGCCCAGGTCGACTGACTCCGGCGAACCTTCAGTTCAGCAACTGGCCTCCGAGGGGTGCTCCGCGGGCAGCACTCGCTCGGGCCGACGGGCCGACGGGCCGACGGGCCGACGGGCCGACGGGCGGGGCTCAAAGTTGACTGACGCAGAGCTCGCCCTCTCGACTCTCTAGCTCCGCCCCTGCCTGCCTCCCTTTCTGAGTGGCTGCAAGACTAAGGAAACTAACTTCCCATTGGCCGAAGGCGACTGGAACGCCCACATCCGGTTTGTGCTCCGGGCATGCGTGTACGCAGGCGGCCATGGTGCGCTTCAAGCACAGGTGAGCCAGTCCGGCCCGGCCCCCTGACCCCTGACCCTCGGCCCCGCGCTCACCTCCCTCCCGCCACAGGTACCTGCTATGTGAACTGGTGTCCGACGACCCCCGTTGCCGCCTGAGCCTGGAGGACCGAGTGCTGGACGGCCTCGTACGGGACACCATCACCCGCGTGCACGGGACGTTCGGCGCGGCCGCCTGCTCCATCGGCTTTACGGGTGCGAGCGCCGTGGGGAGTCCGGGAGGACGCAAGGGGCCGGAGGAGGGACAGGAGGGGCACGACAGACCCACTGACGGCCAAGTGCGATGCAGCCTCTGTACGTGATTGTGTCTGACATCAGTAAATTGGGCAGTGATGGAGCCCGATAGGACAGGACTCAATGAGTGAAGCCGCGTATAGTTAGTTGAGGCAGTAGTTTGACAGGCTATATGGACAAGGATGGCGGGGGTGGGGTGGTGTGTGCCAGAATTGTCACGTATTGACTGCAAGAAGAGCTTAGAGCCCAGGCTCGGGTAGCTACACAACTTGAACCCCCTCTGACCTGCTTAAAATGGAATCCTGGAGAATTTACCACCCATTCCAGGCACACCTCTCCTGCTCTGGGGACAGAGCCCAGTTGCAATAAAACAGCCAGTTTTTCAGGAGCAAGGGGTTGCCTTCCACTGAGTGACATGCCAGTATGTGCATTAAGAGGAGCCCTAGAGATTCCCGCAGCACTTCTCAGCAGTATGCAAGGTGTTATTTTCCTTCCACAAGGTAGCCCTGTCAGTTTGCTTTTTTAAAATACCCTCTAAGGCATTCCAGGTCTGGAAAACAGCCTCTGAGTCATGCTGAAGATTTGAACCTGCTCCTGTAAATCCAAAGTTTTCCTAAGTGGTTTTTCCCCTACACCCCGCTGTAGTGAGATACCTCAACGCCTACACGGGAGTGGTGCTGCTCCGGTGCCGGAAAGACTTCTACCAGCTGGTCTGGTCGGCTCTTCCCTTCATCACCTACTTGGAGAACAAAGGGCACCGTTACCCCTGTTTTTTCAACACTTTGCACGTGGGAGGTAGGGGTCTGAGGTGATCAATTGAGTCCTTGCTTTTCAGCAGGTAACAGGTTGTTCCGAAGGGTGGCTGGGTAAGTGGGTCTTCAGGTTGTCCTGAGCAAGTCACTTGCCTCGAACCATGAAGAGGCGGATATTGGGGGGTGTCTTTTTGTAATTTCTTAACTACAAAGCCATTTCCGGTGCCAGGAACAATTAGAACATGCCAGAAGTTCCTGATTCAGTACAACAGGAGACAGCTGCTGGTCTTGCTGCAGAACTGCACGGACAAAGGTAAGCAACGCTAGCCCAGGGCCTAATGACCTCCCGTCCCCCCACTAGGATAGAGTACGCCAAGAGGTAGCCTTCATCCCTGGGCCTCCTTCATTTTGTTCTCCAGGAGAGCGGGAAGCCATCCAGAAATCCTTCGCACGAAGCTGTTTGTTGGAGGAGCCAGACGAAGACGAGCTTTCTGACAGTGGCAGTGAGGAGCCTGCTGCGGCCCCCCGGTGAGCCTGTGCTTCCCAGCGCCGGGTCTGCCTCAGCAGCACCTCAGCTTTCCAGAGGCAGCATCTTCGCCGGGCTGTACCCAGCCCGTCTTGGAAAAGCAGCCCTGCTGTTTTAGGCAGTGTCCCCCGCA